TGTCGCTTACAGTACTTGATAAGACAAAACTTTTCGGGAATTTCATCGAAGATGCCAAGGACAAGGAGCGGTGTATTAAACGAGAAAAACGATACAGACAGCAGGAAGTGATTCGTGGTACGCATTCTTCCATGGGCTCTTCGGCTGAGTCTAGAGATAGCAGGCGCAGCAGGAAATCCGAGTCAGCCTTATTATTAGCTGAGTTAAAGCGAAGTCAGCTACAGAAAATTTTGGAAATGCAGGCTGTTAGGGACGAGCAGGACCGTCAGATCCAGATAATGAAAGCTGATAACGACGTAGAAGCTGCTCGTTTAATGCACACCCTCTCTTGCTCCGAGGATGAATCGCGTGCCGATGGTGAGTCAATTTCTGTGCCCTCAAGGGTGGCAATTTACGCTGAGGTATGCCGCAGGCAACATGAACTTGGAATGTCATGCCGCGAGCCTAAGTCTGATGCTAATAATGTTCCAGTCGCAACCACATCCAAATCGGTTGAGATACCAGTGTGGAATGACCCCACCAAAGAATATCTCTTAGGGCAGCACTCCCCCAAGTGCAACAACGAAGGGTGTATGGCTGGTAATCCTACGCTGGTCCCTTTGACTTCGATGGACCTCCTCAGAGTCTAATTGACTAAATCCGACGGCAATTCGCACGAGTATTTGAAATTCATTCGTCAGTTTGAATTTTATGTTGAGTCGAGAATGACTGATGATGGGCAGAGGTTGCTTTGCTTTCTGCATTACTGCAGGGGGAGAGCGCGCGAGGCCATCAAAGGTTGCACGGTACTTCCACCCCCAGGAGCCTATCGACGTGCTCGCCAAATCCTGAGTAGGCTTTTTGGCAGGGCTCATTGTATCGCCCTATCGTTATTATATGGGCTGCATGAAAGATTTAGGGCGCTCTCGGCTTCCCCAGCTGATTTGCTTCACCTCACGATAAAACTGAAGAAGTGCAAAATAGCCTTGGAACAGATGGGTTATGAGGCCGACCTGAACCCCTGTCGACTCTCGAACAGTTGGTCCGCTGCTTGTCAGTATCACTTCAGTAGAAGTGGGCCGAATACGTCGATGGTGTAGCGAAGGATGAACGTGAACCGATGTTTAGAGATCTTCGTTCCTCCATGGATATCAGAGCAAGGATATCCAGTGGTAGGTTTGGCACGATAGCCGATCAAACCAAAAGTGTCGCGCGGCCCAGACAACCCTTCCCAAGCAACCCATCAAACGGCAACACTCATTCGTTAACACTGTTTCTAAGACGCCTGAGTCCTGCCCTCTTTGTAGTGAATGGCGCCCTTTAACAGACTGCGTGAAGTTTGCGGAGTTTGAGTGTAGTAAACGCTGGGCTTTGGCTAAGGGGTGTAAGGTGTGCTTCCGTTGCTTGAAGGCTGGGCGCATAACCAAGGCATGCAACACCGAACGCAAGTGTGGTGTGAATGAATGCAATGCACGTCACCATTTCTTCATACACACCGCGCCTTACCCTCCGCGTTCGGTGCAGGGCACCCGTAACGCTGCCAGTGCACGTCAAGGATCAACAGCGTTAGGATTGCTCCCGGTCAGCATTGAAGGAAGTTTAGGTGAACCCGTTGTCTACGCGTTGTTAGACTGTGGTTCCGATAATACCCTGGTGAGCCACGACGTGTTGCAAAAACTGGGCATCCCGCCACACCCATCAAAACCGACTATCAAGACCATAAGTGGTACCTGCCTATCCGAATCATGCGTGGAGAACTTGGAAGTCTGATCCCTGTTAGACAGCACTTGGGTCAATATGGAGAAAGCGTTCGTTGAGCCTAGTATTATGCCGTCCGTTAAGGTCGAATCTCGTGTAGCACCGGCAAGGCGTTACGCGCGTCTGGACGGCTTGCCCATCACTGACATACCACGAAAGTATGTCGCAACTTGGATAGAATATGACGTACCGGACGCACACTGGGTACTGGACCAGCGGCTTGGGGCACGTAAACAGCCCGTAAACAGCACGTAAACGCCCCTTGGATGGACTATCTTAGGTCCAACAGGGGGTGAACAGCGGTGTCGCCTTTCCGTAAATTGCCTATCTCGGGAAGATCCAAACATCCTGCAACAACTAAATCGGCTATACAGTGACGAGTTTGCAGATGTTGACTCGCTTAATTTGGCCTTGTCTCCCGGAGATAGGCGCGTTTGGGAGTTCGTAAAAGCAAAGGTTCCTGTGATTGATAGTCAGTTCGTTATCCCATTGCCATGGAAAGACGATATCAATCGTGCCAGTTCCAACCTGCAGATGGCAACCATGCGACTGCAGAGTTTGAAAAGGCGTTTCTTGAAGGATGGGACCTATTTCCAGCAGTATAGCGCTGTGATAGAAAGCAACCTTAAGATGGGATACGCTTCGACAGTGCCGGTACATCAGTTGAGTTCCGAGTTCCGTCCTTGGTGATATCTACCTCATCACTCTGTCGTCACCCCGAAGAAGCCCGGGAAATTGAGGGTGGTGTTTGAGTGTGCAGCGCAATTCAACAAGAAATCTCTAAATGAATACCTCCATCAAGATCCAAATTGGACAACCGACCGGATAGCAGTGCTCTTGCGTTTTCGCATTGAGCGCGTAGCAGTTTCAGCTGACATAGAAGAGATTTTTATGCAAGTCCGCGTTCCGGAAAACGATAGAGGCGCCCTTCGGTTCCTATGGTGGCCAGGTAGCGATATTTCATTGGAGCCGGTGGAGTTCCAAATGAACGCGCACGTGTTTGGGGCGAAATCTTCGACATTCTGCGCCAACTTTTCTCTGCAGCAAACTGTGAAAATATTTGGAAATGACT